AAAATCTTCAAATGTAAGACTTATTTAGATCTTACTGGCAATTTGTGTTTTGTTTTATGTGTTAAATGGTATCAATTTTAGCATTTTGAGTTGCCTTTGGAAACAGCATTTCTATTTGGAAGATGGTGTGATGGCAAATATGCTTGCCCAAGTATATTGTTTCCTTCCATTGTTTTACTAGTTTGTAAGCTCTAGCATCTGTCTATTTATTATGGTGTCTTTACAGGTGCCTTGTAGCATTTGATTTTGGAGAAGTTCATATTTTTCTTTATATACCATATCTACTAACAATAATTTTTTCCATCTAGTTGTATTCGACTGCTGTGTCTGTGTGAGATGCCCATGTAGGATTATCTCATTCTTCCCCTTTTTGACTTCTGTCCTTGTATGTTTATTATCAGAGTTGGAAGTTTCATTTTATTGTATCCACAATTAGGATTTGCATGAGTGATTCAAAACCTTAAAGTACTTGGAATTTTCTTTTTTAATTTAAGGCTTTTAAAATTTTAAAAGATACAACTTCCATATTGGCTTAATTATAGGGCAATATCAAAAATAAGGTGACCCCCATTTTCAGAAATCATGGGAAAGATAAAAAATTGAGTGTCATAATGCTTTTTTTACGTCTGCAAAATCAATACTATAACTAAACAGGCTACAGGTGGATTAGTTGCAAGAATTAGTGATGATATTGAGCAAACATCTGACAAGCATGTGTAGATGGATGCTATCTGGACACTCGGGAATGTGACAGGCTAGAGTAGGGAGAAGGGGCCTGTGGTTGGCCATGACTATAAGGCGACTATGAATTTTACAGCGTTATTATTATTTAAAAAAATCGCTTTATAATTGGGTCAGTGCAATATTTCTGCCAGTTTTGAAAAAAGTTCTTGAAATTAGTAACTTCTAGCAAAAGTGAATATTTGATTAACAGTTAACTATCCTCTGTATGAAAAGTCTCAACTCATTCTCACATAGTGATTTATAATTCAAGCCTATAAATAAACACTCATATGACAATTGTTAATCTCATGATCAAGGAGTTGCACACACATCTGAATTTCAAGCCATTAGTGATTTTCTGTCTTGGTCCAATATTTTCATGCATAAAATTTTCCAAGGTAAGGGAAAATTTATATGATATGATATAGTTTATAGCTTTGAAATGACTGGGACATTTTACTCCCTGTTATCAAAACTGCTAATGTCACTGTTAATAACAGAATAATACATAAAAGCTGACTGCCCAATCTCCCTTGCCTGGTTTGTAAAACTAAGAACACCTGTTGCAATACAAGGGGATGGCAAAGAAAATTTATTTTTACCGGTTTGTTTCTATATCTTATTTTATAACAGCATTTTTGAATATTATTAATATAACTGGATTTTATTTTTAATGCATTTTTCCAGACTTGATCATTTTTACTAATTTTGTTTCTTTATTTATTCTAGTTTGATTTTTCTTATGTTTGAAATTTAAAGTACAAAATGTTAGTAATCTAGCATTTACATATGTTTAATTTTAGTATTTAGGTATATTGATATCCAACAGATAATTATAAATAACTGCAATACAGCAGGTTCTGGAAATTTTATGCAGAGTAATATTTCAAACATGGACAGCAAAGGAAACACAAATGAATAAAACCTTTATTTACAATAATGTTTTTGTCTGACATCAAAGTGGCCAGCATTTGTTTGTTTTGACTTCTCATTAATTGCTGGTTCTGATAAGGTACTCTCCCTCCTCTCACAAGATTAGCTTTTCTCATTTTGTACTGCCCTCTATATGCAAACTTTTTTTCAGAAATGCATGCCACAAGTCTTCATCCTCCCTCTGTTGGAATCCAAAGTTCCAACACATCTCTATTTCAAATCATAATGTATCACCCATCCAATCAATAGAAGAGCACTACTATCATGATGCATGTGACTCCCACTACATGGCACTACCGAACTATCACTTCTCGTTTGGCAATTGTAGAGTTTAGCATTCTTTTTTTTACATTATTTAGTTACCTTGAAGTGGTTTATTTTTTCATTTTTCATATTTTTCTTAACTTTATTTCCAACACTTCATAGTTTTGGAGTTAATATTTTAATAAAGCATTACTTTCTTGTGTTTCCCACTTATGAATTCCAAAGTTACAGTCACTAATTCAGGTGCTTTGCCAGCGTCTGATGCTGTATATATGTTCAGCCACGGGCGCGGGGACCCATTGGAGGGGTATATTGTTGCTCCTTCGCTGGGAGATTGAGCGGTATATGAACGTACCTCCCTCGCCTACTTCTGCCCCACTTTCTCCAGAGCCTTTCGTGCTGGTCCAGCCTGTATCCGGTTTTGATCATTTGTTTCCCAACCCGGAGTTTGCTGCACCTTCCCTTCACTACCTGATGATTCAGCTAAGTCCATCATCGGTCTTTTCAGACTATCATTCAGGTATGTGATGTTTTGTCACTTACACCTGTTTCATATAGCCCTAGATCTTCCCTCTTACATGAAACATCCCAACCCTATTTAGTCTTTCCCCCCTCCCCCGATATTAGGGTTCACACTGGAGGAGAGAGTTAGTATACCTCGTCCCCCACAGACTTCGGATGAATCAGCCCTTGCTTATCATCAGGCGGATTTTCCCTTCCTTGATCAACACTCGTTGGGGTCAGTTCTACCTGTTTGGGGGGGGGGGAGGCTCTTCACGGGAACCCTGAGAGGGTTTTCTGTTGACATATTATTCATATTTACTTCTACATTGGCTCATCTGTCGTCTTCAGCTCTCATGCTTCAAAAGTAGTTTATTTGTTGTTGGGACCTCTTGGGCTGTGATGCGGTTTTGGCAAGGACCCATCTCCAGGCTCCTTATCTGAGGGATCTCCGCATGGTGGCCTTTTTGCAACATTATGAGTTTGACTCATTTCCTGTGTCTTTTTAGTTGCAGGTGGCCTCGGCCCATCGACATTCTACCCTTACTCACATGGTAACTCGTTTGTCACAGTCGGGGCTGAGTGCGGCACCGATTCCTGTGCCCTAACCTTCCCAACCTCTTCCTGTCCCAGAAGGTCTTTGTGCCTGTTTCTCTCATTGGGTGACGAGGTTGTTACCAACTTGGGGTTGTTTTGGGCTGGTTTCATAGTTGGAGGGGTGGAATGCGTCAGATGGACTTCCCTCGGATTCTGGATGACACATTCCCAGATTAGGCTACCCTGTTAGTTCCTGCAGTCAATTGCTATGTTCTCTCTTGACTCTGGGACTTGAGGTGAAGATGGTATGATTCTCATTCTACCATTGCAAGGATTTCAATACCCCAATGCCCAATGTAGTTGACTTATTGAGTACAGTCTGTTGCACCCTAGCCATTCTACACCATGGAACACATCCTCACTTGCCCACTTTCTATCATGGGATTGAGTGATTTTTTATTTCTGTTTAAGGTCATATTGCTAAGCTATCCTCTTCCACACAGATTTCTCCCTTTAATATTCTGCCATGTCTGGTCCTTGTGATCATGTTGGTGTTCCTGACAAAGAGATACTTAGCTCAGATGTGGTGCGGTAACCCTCCTCAGATCATCTGGTCTGTTCCTCTCATTTTGGGGGTATCCTCTGGACACTTCCAGGGGCTATATCTGTGCTTCTCTTACACCAGTCCCTCTTCCATTTCAATGTGGGATTCAAGCTAATCTTGTGTGTGAAAGGAGAGTATCTTATTGGAAGTTATAATTTTCCTAAATGAAAAATGTATTTCCGTTAGGTACTTCCGTCCTCCCCACAATTTTCCAGTGTTCTGTCAAACTTCAAAATGATAGTTCGGTAGTGGCGTGTAGAGGGAGTCACATGCATCACGTGATAGTGGTGCTCTTCTATTGGTGGAGAGGGGATACATGATAATTTGCCTGAGAGACATGTTGGAACTTTGGATTCCAACAGAAGAAGGATGAAGGTTTGTGGCATATGTTTCTGAAAAAAGGTTTGCATATACAGCGCAGCACAAAATGAGAAAAGCTAATCTTGTGAGTGGAGAGAAATACCTATCAGAAATAGATTTTCATTTAGGGAAATTATAACATTAGGAGAGGCTTTCCAAACATGTCCACAAATGTGAAGAATGGTCAAGAACAATTAAATATTAGAAAAACTATGTTTTTTTAAAATTCACACAAAGTCGTTATCAGTTGTGCATAGTAAAACTTTTGTTTATTTTATTCACAATGTTTTACCAAGTTTACCTGGTATCACCAGGTGGCACACAAGAATTGGGGCTAACAGAATTTAATTATAAAAATACAAACTATAACAATAGTAATCTACAAGCATAAGACTGATTAATGTAGACAGTAAAATAATTTATCAATAAACTGTCAATTTTAAGTATAAGCCGGAGTCTAAGTATTGAAATACATTTTGTGTACAAAAGACAAGGGAATTAATATAGATGTAAATGAACACCTTTGTATTTGTTAAGAATAGGGTTATGGTTTTTAATTGATAGGACTGAAGATTTTTACCTGGGAAGAACCAAAATAATGTTTTTTTGTAGACATATGTTCAAAAACATGAGATGGAGATTTTAATGAGTTGTTACTCATGTAACTTTTGCTTAAGCAGAATGATAACTACATGCAGAACACCTACAGTACATCTACATTTAGAAAAATTACCTGAATGGTACCTTACTAAAGGTATATTTTAAAGGAGTTATAGAATGGTGAAAGTAAAAGTTATTTCAACTGTAACTTTTATTTTCTTGTGCATTTCTGTAGATTTATTAATCATATATTTTTAGAGACTTGTAGTTTATTTTACATTATTCTCTGATATTTAAAAATAAAAATTATTTATTACATTAGGAAATTCTTAAGTGTTTTGCAATATACATTTTAATTCTTATTGTAAATTTTTTCATTTGAATATAGTATTTTTTTAAAAGGTTTATATTTTGTTACACATGCAAGCCTTGTATACATTTCATGAAATATTTAAATAGCTTCATTTAACAAATTTAGATCAGTGTTGGGACTCAAATTCTGGTGAAGAAGGTGAAAATAATGCCATCTGAAAGAGAAATGAAGAGAACCAGTTATGTAATATTGAAAGAATTTGACATATGTGGATACTCAGATATTTGCTTACGTAAGTTTTTGTTCTAAGCTTCAGTTTTATGAATAACCAAGTGTCTAACCTTGATGTGTAATGGTAAAGTGTTGCTTGTGTGTATTCTAAAAATCCTTGCTTTATGGAATACATTCACAGTCCATAATATTGCAAAAGTGGAGAGAGAGAGAGAAGTAGACTGTGTAATTTTTTAGGAAAATTGTGACATGGACTACATTCGAAAATCCAGTACTAGCCATAAATTAGAGATTAGTTAAGATAGTTTTAAACATTCAAAAGATCATTAGGCAGAATTTAACCTTCTCACTACAGGTAGGTTAAAGTGTGCATGTCATGATTTTTTAGAGTTACGTTCAAAATTTAATTAAGCTACTTTATTATCAATGTATACAAATAAACTTGGCATCAAAACATTTTAATATTATATAAGTTTTAGGTTCTTAAATTTGTAAGGAGGTATTTAAAAAATTTCAATCTCCCCTAGTAAAAGAGGTGTGACATTTGCTCTCTAGGTTTCCCTTTTCTCTAATTTATTTACCACCACTCCAAAAAGTATGAAATTTAACATAAATTACTCATTATAATATAGATATTTCTCAGGCAAAGCATAATTTTTATAGCCTACAATCTTTGTTTACAGAGTCATAAACTAGAAAAATCTTACCCACTTGCCATGACCTCCTGTTGCATCCCCTGTTTCACAAATTGCTGGTAGTTCTCTCTCATGCTTTATGCTGTGTTATTTATAACTGACAGAAAGCCAAAGATCTATCATACGTCTTTATATTATATTGTTTTATCTACAGAGAATCGTCTGTTTCCTGGTTCAGTTTCTAATTTGTTCTCATTGGAATCACATCAACTAGCGTAGCTGAATTTTTAAAGGCTTTTATCACATAACTAAAAAGTCAGAAAAATTATGATAGTTATAGGACGTTGTTTGCTTTGTGTGTTATTATTATGTGTTCTTAAGTGCATTATTTTATTTAATAAAAAATTGAGTGTAGTAGTACCATTAGTTGACAGCCAAAAAATTAACACACAGGTAAGTACTATATTTCTTATTTTTCTTGTGTATTCTTTATATATTATTATAAAAGAAACTAAAATGTAAAAAAATACAAACTTGTTAGGTTAGATTTGGTACGATAATGAAAAATAGTAATAGTAATAAAACTTCTCCATGAAGGATGCTCACGAGTAGCTTGTGCTTTATTTAATTCATTATATGTTCACTGAGTGATTTACAACTTGTGTGGTGAGAATATTAATTACACATGGTTCAAAGGGCAATAAAACAATAACATTTAAGTAGAAATAAATGTGTACTGTTATGAGCTTTAAGCTATTTAAAATAAACAATTGTAGTTTCCTGTTATAATTTACAGTCATTCTAGAACAAAAGGGTAAGTTAGATTTATTATATCTTTTTTGGCAGTTATGAGGTCATTCAATTATGATAGACAGAATAACAGATAAAATACAAAGTTTTACTTTAAAAAAATGTTTTATATTTATTTAAAGATTATGCAAATAAAACTTGCCAATTCTGAGATGAAGAAAAGTATTTTTAATCATAATATGAAAATCACTTTGAACTCAGGGTTGTCAACACATATATTCATGGAGACATTTTTTGTAAAAATACTTCATTAAAAAATTTTTTTTTTTCGTCTTCAGAAGACTTGTAATATTTACCAAAAAATTGCAAAATTTCATGAAGATACGCAAAATGTATTAAAAGTTATAATATGGAAATTATAAAGGTCAATTTGGGGTTACAGACTAGGTCGATTCGACTGAGCCTTTAGCAAGAGAGTTAATCATCTTCAAATTTTTGTTTGATCTTGTAATTAGAAACTGTTTAACAATGTTTGAATGGTAATCACACATTAAGTGTCACCTTCATTGCAAATTAAATTTTTAGAATGTCCATTTCTCAAACAAAAGTTGTATTAAAAAAATAAAGTACCACTAAAACATCATTATATGTAAGGAGATCCTTCTGTGCATTGGAGTGGGCGGGGTAAGTTTAGCAGCTGCATTACTTCATAAAAATGTTTTGAATTCTGTGTGTTAAAAGGCATTTGCTGCTTTAAACAGTAGAAATTTACACAGCCATATAATCTTTCCTTTAACTTTTTGTGATAGTTAAAGGTCCATAGTTATTTTCTAAACTGAAATGCTACTTTCCAAGATGATACCTCACTTCTGCACTTAGAATATATTCATTCCTTCGTGTATCTGCCTATGAGATTTGCATACCACTAGCCTTGAGTTACTTCTCACCTAAAATAACATGTTGTAGGTTAACTACTCTAGTGCATGGTGAAATAACCACCTAACTCCCCTTAACTCTTTCCATGAGGGGTTGGTAGATTATACTGACCTTTAGACCCAAAGTGTGCATCAGTTTCCATACTATTTGGCAAACTTTCAGTAAGCATTGCAAGTCTTTTGACATAAAAGATCAGATTTTTTAATTAAGTATTATTACCAAAGATTTGTTTTTGAATATATGGAATCGGTATTGATTGCTCCAAGTGCAAAATGATTTTCATGTTAAGATTAAAAATATTTTTCTTCAATTGAAAAGTTTCAAATTTCATTTGTGTAATTACATTTTTATTACAGTAAAACTTTATATTTTATATATTTTTTCCACCCTAACTGTATACGTATTTAGTCAAGTTGACCTACCTTTTAACCACCATAAAAAACAAAATAAATCTAAATTATCCTCTTTCTTCTTTCTAGAATCACAGCAGATTATAACAGGTAACTACATTTCTTAACCCTAAATAGCTTAAGGCTCGTAAGAATACACTTTTGTTTATACTTAATTTTGTTATTTTATTGCCATTTGAACTGTATATACCGTATTTTTTGGAATATAAGACACACCCTTATTTTGAAGACAAAGTTTGGGGAAAAAAAGCTACAGTTGCATTTGAAAGATTCTTGTTGAACAAAAATTCAATTTGATACTTTAAAAATTAGTATATATTGTTCTAAACACAAAAGAGCTCAAAACATCAAAATAAGAGAATACTGTAAATCAAAAAAGGTTTACTGTTATTTAGTTTGGTTCAAAATCTACAAAATCTTTATTGCTTTCACTGTAATTTATTTTTTTATTATTATAAATAGTTGTGTTTTTAAAAGAAAAAACTACTATTGTTATAAATAACACATTCAATTGAACTGAATTATGCATGCCTATTTAAATATATTTACACATGGCTTCTGTATATCATATATATACATATATATTATTCATTCCTTTGGTGTATAGGATGCAAGCAGATTTTCACATCAAATTTTGGGGCAAAAAAATCTTATACACCGAAAAATACGGTAACTAACAATCTTGCCATACAAGTTGTAAATCACTTGACAAATGCATAGTTCATGTTACAATATTGAATGATATAACGAATGAGCTACTCTTGAGCATACCTTATGAAGAATTATTATTATTGTTCTTATCTTGCCTAATCTAATCTTATAAGTTTCAAATTTTTACATTTTAGTTACTTTTATAAAAATTCATGAGAAATACAAAATATATAGTGCTTACATTTAATTTTTTTGTTGTTGTTGGTTGCTGATAACATTTAAGCCTTTTTTTTTAAACTGATGGCACTAGTACATTAAACAAACTTTATTTACTTAGATAATGCACTTAAGAACACAAAATGTTAACATGCAAAAAGCAAACAATGTTCTATGACTATTATGATTTAATTGGCTTAAAATATTTCTCTAAGCTACTTGAGCTGAACACCACAAGAGACTTTCAAACTGAAAACAAAATAGATAAACTTTGTACTGAAAACAATGTGATATAATACATCATTTGGTTATTAAAACGTTCTTTTCTATACACTATAAATGATATAAAAGTCAGACAGCACTGCTCGCAATTTATGAAACAATAAATGTAATAGATAGGCTTAGCATTGGGTCTGATTCTTTAGTTTATGACTGTAAACAAAAAAGATTGAAGGCTATGAAAGTTAGACTTTGCCTTAGTAATATCTATATCATAATGAGTAATTTACTTTAAATTCTGTACTTCAGAGAGGTGTGGTAAATAAATATAAGAATAGGTAAGATATAGAGAACAAATCTCACGATTTTCATATAAGGGGAGAATGAGGAGTTTTTAACATATTTCCTTATAAAATTAAGAACTTCAAGCATGTATAATATTAAAACTTGCTTTATTGACTATGTTTTGATGCCAAGTCTATTCGTGTATGTTGATAACAAAGTACTTTAATTAAATTTTGAATGTAACTCTATAAAAGGTTGTGACATGCACACTTTATCCTACCCATTGTGAAAGAGTTAAGCACTTAGGCTCAAAATAACTATATTATTTTCCTTGGCATTGTCAAGAATGGATGTTTTAAAATTTTGATCAGTTACTTGAGATTTGCGATGGTTTTCTACTGAGTTAAATTGCATTTTAGTTTCCCTGGGTTAATGTTCACTGTTCATATATCTAGCATGTTTTTTAAAATGTTTCAATTCAAAAACAGAATCATACTGAATTCTCAAGAGAAGGTAACTCCTGCATCATCCCATGATAGTGACAATGTTCCTAACATGGGACTTGTGGCTGCTGGGGGGGCTCTTTGTCCAATTCATTTGGCTGATGCTTCTTCTCCCCAGTTTGAACATGACCAAGATGCTGATTCTATTGACTGGCTATTTCCCCCATCAGGGTTTGCTCTAGGCATAGCTTTATCTATGGAGGAAAATCCTTACCATTTAAATATTTTCTTTGACATGATTTTGCAGATATGTTCTTTCTCTTCCCTGTGTGTCTTTTGATTCTTCCTGTACTTTATCACATGAAACTAATACTCAAGACTGTCTTCTCTCCTTCAGTTGAACAATTTAACTAAATTGCCTCATCCACCTTGTCTACTTGACTCTGTTGTAATGGTTTACAGTCATTCTTCATTTATGTTCCTTGATTGCCAGTCTTTTGAATCTCTTTTACCTGC